ACATCACTAGCTGGATACCGTATTCGATATGACGCAATAAACTCTTTGCCTCCAAATCCGCACTATCTCAGGCAACGAGAATCCCGTGCTTTCATTCTTTTCTGCGTGCTTTTGCTTTCATCACTTCTTCCACCACACTTGTTCACAGCTGCTCGTAGATCAACAGTTGAACGGAAGTGCAAACCTTCTGCGCCGCTCTCTAGTGTTTCGTTGTTATGAAACTCTACTTCTCTCAAACTCCCTACTTTTCAAGATTATGCAGATATCCATTCCAATATTTTGCTTTACCAATCCTCTCGCTTGCGTCACTGTGCCTTGCCAAGACCAACGCTTCGCTTATCCTGCTTCAGACTTGTTGTGTATGCTTTATTAATTCAATTGCGCTTTTACCCTGGGTGAAACATATTACACCTTATTTGATTTGCCCAGTTCTCATATTCCGACTCAGTTTTCGTGTCCATTTTGCATGCTTATCTTCCTTCAAATTCCATGTTGGTTGTTAGATATCCCTAGTGTGGCTGCGGTTCATGTGAATTTTGGCAAGGTGTCTACCTGTCTAGCATTCTCCACTTGGCGTCCACCTGTAGCTGGCCAGCGATGGACCCAAATTGACCACATAGCCATAAGTTACAGGTGGCGCGGTTCCATTCTGGATTGCCGCTCGTACTGGAGTACCTGTGTCGACTCTGATCATGCCTTGGTACGCTGTCGCTTCTCCATGAACTTTACCGGGAGGCGCACCAAGCGTCCCCTACGATTGGCAACTGAGAAATTGTCCCAGCCCTCGGTCAGGCAAGTCTATCAAGAAGCACTGCATACCGAACTTCAGTGGAATAGGATCTCGGCCGCTATGCACGACACAGGAGCGTCTGTTTGTGGCACTATCAGTCGTCACCACACCAGTCACTGGATATCCGAGAGGTCCGTGAACCTGTTGGAAGCTAGAAGCCACTCGGCTGGTTCTGAACACAATGTGACCAGACGGGCTATTAGGCGTGAACTAAAGCGGAGCCTACGTGCTGACAAGGAAGCCTGGTGGACCAGTCGGGCTTAAGAAATGGAGGAGGCAGGAGCAGTAGGCAATTACCGGAAGCTCTTCCAGCTAATCCGCACCACTGGTCCCAGAAAACCAGGCGTCAGTGAGACAGTAAGAGACAGCGCGGGTGCGCTGATACACAATAAGGAGCGCCGTATGGCTCGTTGGGCGGAACACTTGCAAGATCAGTTCAGCTGGCCCCCTGCTCCTGGACCTCTTCCTATTCAGGTGATGCAGGACGTGCCATGGACGGTTAGTTTGGAGCCTCCGTCGGAGGCCGAGGTCCGAAACGCGAACACAGCCCTCAATTGTTTTCGTGCCGCTGGCCCGGATTCCCTCCCACCTGCACTATTTAAGGATGGAGGTGAGGTCCTCTGCAGGGCACTGACCTCCCTATTCGAACGTATCTGGAACGAAGAGAGTGTGCCGGCTAATTGGAGCGAATCGATTATAGTGGCAATATACAAGAAGGGCAGTCGCACAGACTGTGCGAACCACAGGGATATTAGCCTAACGCCAGTTGTGACAAAATTACTGGCGTCGATTCTCGTTCGTCGCCTCACTGCAGAACGGGAATCTCGGATTAGGGAAGAGCAGGCCAGTTTCCGCCCAGGACGTGGCTGTATAGACCATATATTTACTTTGCGGCAGGTGCTAGAGCAGCGCCACGCATACCGCAGACCGACAATAGCTGTGTTCCTCGATTTCAAGAGTGCGTTCGATTCAGTCGATCGATCGATTCTGTTCGAATTACTTGCGCGAAAAGGTGTTCCCACGAAATATGTGAACATCCTAGTGCTCTATACTCGAACACTACAGGTCGCGTCAGGGTCTATGGTGTCCTATCAGATAGCTTTTCGACTACAAGTGGCGTTCGTCAGGGTTGTCCGATTTCCCCGTTTTTGTTCAATTTCGTCGTGGATTCTATCATTGAGTGTTCCCTTGCGGAATCTCACGATGTAGCCGTTGAAGTGCTGCCTGGTGAAAGGTTAGTTGATCTAGATTATGCTGACGATATCGTCTTGCTTTTCGACAATGTTGAGGCGGCACAATCAACCCTGAATAGCCTATCCAGAGTAGTCCCATTATTTGGTATGCACTTCGCACCTTCAAAGCGCAAAGTGTTGCTGCAGGACCACCAGCCACTTGATGACCCCTTGACGCTTGCTAACGAAGAACTCGAGGTGGTTGATCAATTCACTTATCTTGGTAGCTGCATCAGCAATGATGGGCGCATAGAAACTGACGTCAGCTCACGCATTGCAAAGGCCAGAGCTGCCTTCTTGAACCTGCGTCATCTTTGGCGACAGAAGGGAGTTTCTCTCCGTCTGAAAGGCCGTGTATACAAGGCCACAGTGAGGGCCGTTCTGCTGTATGGTAGTGAAACTTGGCCCCTTCGGTCTGAAGATCTGAGGCGCCTTCAAGCCTTTGATCATCGTTGTTTGCGAAGCATTGCTGGTGTCGGATGGCACCAGCGTGTCCGCAACGATGATGTGCGTAGGCGAGTACTAGGTGGTGATAATCATGCTAGCTCCCTAGAACAACAGATAGCACTGAATAAGTTGCGTTGGCTCGGGCACGTGCTACGCATGCCTGGTCACCGCTTACCTAGGAGGGCCTTGTTCAGTCTACCAGGTGTAGGATGGCGCAAGACTCGAGGTGGACAGAAGTTGACTTGGCAGCGGGAAATGAAGTCACTGACGACCAAACTGGGTGCGGTTGGTCCGTCTCGCCTTCCGGGCTGGAGTCCACGTGACTCACCTTGTGCTTGGCTGGAGACTTTACAGGACATGGCTCGCAGTAGACACCAGTGGCGCGTCTGCTGCCGTCTCCTAGTCGGATTGTCTGTTTAAAGTGTGTTTGGTGCTGAGTTATCTGCGGGGTAATGGCTGATTATGACGCGTGGCAGTGAAAACCGCAAGAAAGCTGTCTCGCCGATGCCGCCTTATCTTTACACGATAACCAGCTGTTTGTGACGGTATGTTGTCTACACAAGGTGTAGGCGCCTTGACCCTGAATGTTTGCTTAGGGCATTAAGCTTTTCAGGTAAGTCCCCCTTCTCTCTTCTTATTCTTTATTTCATAGGTTCTCATGGTTGTATGGCAGCGAAGCATCAGTTCAAATGGCTGATGTACTGTTGTTGATGATGATGACTCTCCACCTCGATTACTGCCTCCAGTAGACTGAATAGTTGCTGGGAGGCGGGGTGCACCGTCCTCTTGGCCGTGCTAGGCTCATTGTGGAGCGGACTACAGTCCGGCCACAGCCTCTCTTAACTAGGCATGAACGCTTCCGCCTTGCTTGTTGTAGGAGTGTGGGCCGGCTCAGTTGATGGAAGCTGGCTCCCATACACATCTCTCCCGATCTTATTCCTTTTGTTTTACACTGGATATGAGATGTGTGGGTGGAGGTGTGGATGGTGAGCCACAAGCCGCTCATGGTCCCTGTGTAGGTGCAGGCGTCCTGTAGCTGTCCCTTCAGAGTTCACAGTGACAGGTGAATCCGGGACCGGATGCCGCCAACCATGTATTTATGTATTGCTTTATGCTGAGGTTGATGCTGCATTCATGATGCTTCTTCACCGCAGTTGGGCTAAACCAAATCTAGGTTTTTTATATGAATATAAGTCATTTCACTTTATTTGGTTTGTCCATCTCTGTTATTATGCTACGTATTGGGTGCCAATTTTGCGGGTTTGCTTTCCATCAAATTTTGTTGTTTGTTTCATATCCCTGGTGTGGCTTTGCTTGATGTGAATGTTGACCAAGTGCATATCTGTCTAACACCCACCACCTCCATTACTGGGTCCAGGAGACTGAATCGTTGTTGGGGGGGGGGGTGCACGGTCCTCGTGGCCGTTCTAGGATCAATGTTCGCTTCCATCCAGTGTGGAGTGGGATACGGCCCAGTCACCGCTTGGTGTACGTCGGGTACGAATGATTCCCAACCTAGATAGACGACTACTGCTGTTGTGCATGTTAAAGAAGTGTGGGCCGGCTCCGATGATGTAACCTGGCTCCCATCCACATGCCTGGCGGTCTTATTCCTTCGTGTTTGCACTGAATATGGGGTGTGTGGGTGGTGCACCGCAAGCCACCCATAGGTCCTCTGTAGACGCATGCGTCCTGTCGCTGTCCTTTGGAGGCCACAGTGACAGGCAAATTCGAAACTGCATGCCGCTAACCATGTGCTTTGAACCTCGATAGACCACTGTGCAGCTATGTTTTGACGTACGATTTGATTCTCCTGGGTCTTCTGGGTTTGGAGTGAAGAGTCGGGAATATTACTCCGAAATAGGTCATCGGGGGGGGGGGCTGAAGCAAATCCTCATTTATATCGACTATCAGTTTAATGTGTCAAGCTACCTAGTTCATTGTATGTTTTGTGAATGTTTATCAGCGCATCCGTCTCATAAGTCACCCATCTACTCTTATATGCTCATTCGGAAGAAAGATGCTCTACTGAAAAACCTCAACATGGCACTGTGATCAAGGCAATATATTCTGTTTTCAACTTTAAAATTAGTCCACATAAGATATTGTCCTCTTTAATTTTTGATAAACATTACAAAGATAATTTTCCACTCACTCAATAGCATCAGCTGCTACGGATCTCTGAAAATGTCCAGTAGCGCTCATGCTGAAACATGGGACGTCCAGTCGCCGGAATGCAGAAAATGAGAGGCTTAGACTTACCGGGTGCCTGTGTCACAGTAGAATGACATGCACTGGCAAGCCGTAGGCAAGTGTACTACATTCTTTTGTGCTTCCATTTCGGTTATCTTCCGATATCCTCATTAGCATTTTCTGTCCCTTTACCGGGTGCACTTTCTGTATCCCTTCTCAAGTTAACCAGCTTAAATTACCGGAATTATACTACCCTCACCACAATCTTTAACCTGATCGTTACTTGTCGATGAATCTTACTATTCCTGTTTTATGCTTTCTCCACTATCTTCGCATAGGTTCCCCGCAACCTGTATGTCGGAGACTCCGTGATAGTGTTCGTTTCGAGCGATTCTTCAGAAGATAGTCCGGCTACTCTGGGCCTTTCTGCGTTGACCCAGGCCCTTATCGAGCTGGATGAAGTTGCGTTGGTGCGTAGGGTCTATAACAGAACCTCTGCACCACGTCTGGGTGTTCTGACTCCGGAGTATGTTCCCCCTGTAATCTTTTTGCCTTTATACATCAAATGTCTAGCCATAATCCATTGCACTGGAGTTGACTTGTGACCTTAACTAAGCGAAGTAGATCGTCGTCGCGTCTGGCCTGCATGCAACGAATGCATACTATGTAACCTTGTTAATTGGACTCGAAAGCGGATGCGAGTGCATTGGTTGCCACTATTCACTTCGTGAATCAAGTACTCATTCTCTATGTTTCCGGAGTTGGTTTTCACTGGATGCCATTGGACACGACACCAGCGGCAATGGATGAATATATGGTTCATACAGGTGTTTTCGAACTGACCCAACGGGAGTTACATGAGTCACGCACACCCCGGCGACTACCGATGCAGAACCTTGTAGTTGGCCCGTCGCCTAAAGATAGCTTGTCTTGTAATCTGACGGCGCGGGTTCGAGCCTGCGTAGGGACAGGACGACCCTCGCAGTATGCTTAGCTCACGTGCGACCGGTGGTGGTTGCGCGGCAGCGAAGCGTCAGTACCGCGTACTGGCGCACTGCTGATGACCTTTGTTAGCCCCGGTGACCCGCTACCTAAAAGTACAACGCCGTCAGTTTGCTGAACAGTGGTCTTTTTCCTGACTGCTCTATCCTAATCAAACACGGGTATAACATTAGCGATGAAGATTACTGACCATTTACAACTAACCGAATTATTACATTAACAGCAAGAATATATCCAACAACAACAGCAGGCTATGATCCACCAAGAACAGTGACAGGCGTTGTAATTCCAAGCACTCACAGAGAGATCGTAATCCATAAATCTAACATCCACCACAATGAAAACTGCATCCATTTTAGTTGGATCGTTGAAAACCACAGTGCACGATTCTCAGTATGCCACGAGATTGGGGCGTCACGTTCGCAACCTGGTACAGGTCGTATGAAATCTTTCTGCTTGACCATGCTGCCAAAGTACAGTTGTTTTTGTTGCTGAAACGGTAACTTCCTTGTACTAAAACATCCTCGTAAATACACTTTCAAGGAGACTGTCATCAGTTTTATCAGTGTTTAAGGCTGGTAAAAATCAATTCGAAGATTATGTTTCTTGCGCAAGTAGACTGAACCATTCGTGCGAACGCTTCGAGCTCAAACAGGTTACAGAAGACCAGTTCATGTCACTCATTTCGTATCCGGCTTAACCTCTACAGCTGATGCAGAAATCAGAGCACGTCTGTTACCCAAACTGGACTCATTTATGGAGTTCACTATTCAGGACGTTACCCAAGTGTCAACTTAGAAAGTGACACCTAATTATTGCAATCGAGGTAACTAAAGTCAGAGATCGCGATGGCTGATACAATTTTTACCCGAACACTGACTGCCGTCTATAACACTCCACAATAGAAACACCGGTGTGTTTGTTGGAATTGTGGTGACTGGTATTTTGTCAGAAACTACCCGCTCATCAATCACCAGTGCACCGTCTGTCACAAGAAAGGCCATAAAGAAACGCATTGCCACCCGAAGTTCTTAATTTTTGGCCAGCCGAAACCGTCTCAACAACGCGGAATCAAATGATAGTCTGATGTGGTTTATGCGACTGCACACGAAGGATTTCTTTCACTCCGTAAGTTTATCACTGTCACTACTAATGGTCACCCATGGCTCCTACAGCTGGATACCGAATCTGAAATTACCATCATATCCAGTGCGACATGGTCGGCTATCGGTAGACCGATACTGTGCAGTGCGGAAAATACCGCAAGGAGTGCATCGAACAGTATTATACATCTATATGGCAAACTTTCCTGTGAACATCTTTACAGGAACGATAAACGAACCGGCGCCTGTCACGTTTCTGGCAACCCGGGATTTAGCATACATGGTATTGGATCACCGCGTTGAACCTGTGAAGTGTTCCTCTTGACTTTGTGTGCGATCAAACCAAGGAGTCTGTCCGGTCCGGACATGTCATCACATTGCTACGGAGCGCTAAATCCTACAATTGTCGACGATATGGAGAAGCATTTAAAAGAAGTGTTCAACCCAACGCTTGGCTGTTGCACTGAGTTCACGGCATCTCTGTATCTAAAAGATGACGCAAAGCCTCTCCCATCCATGCACTCCACGATGGACGGTTTCATCTTCGTGTCAGTATCAAGCACTGCTCGTGGACCTCAATGGCCTAGTGATCATGGAGATTGCCGCCAAGCACTGTGCGCCAAGTTCCACTCGCAGCTCGGCTATCTCTACCCGATGAGTGTAAACCAAGAGGAAACCGTCGGCCGTGGAGTGCAGAGATTGGAGAGTCACACCGAAACCCTCCACTTCGGTGACAGTCCCAGTGATCGTATTGACAGAGACGGACCCCAAAGGCAACGGAGGCCACGATTGAGATTGCGTGTCGCAATCCAAGACACACAGCGGGTGCTCCAAAATCTGAACTTCAGAATGACACAAAACCTGTTTTTAGACTTAAAAGACTGGTGTCGTATGCTTCTCTTAAGTCAGTTGACAATGAATTGGATTGTTTAGAACAATCAGGGTGATTTCTAAAGAGTAATACTCAGACTGGGCAGCGCCCATAGTGATAGTGAATGGCAAACGGAACCATTCGTCTATGTGGAGATTATTCCACCCACCTGAACGCAGCACTGATTCTTCACCAATACTCGCTGCCAATACTGGGGGGGGGATCTTTTCGTCAGACTCAATGACAGTCCAATTTTTACAAAGATTGATCTCTCAGATGCCTATCTTCAAGTGGTAGTCGATGACGACGCACGATGCCTACTTGCAATGAGTACTCACCGTGGGCTGTATCAATACACTCGGCTACCGTTCGGAGTGAAAGCTGCTCCGGGACTATCAAGAACTGATGAATAATATGCATATTATCATCGCATCAACAGACGGAACCCAGCATGGCTGTCACCTCTTGCAGGTATTCGAATGCCTACGGGAATATGTTTTGACTCTGAGAGCTAATAAACGCTGTTTGTTTATGCCTTAACTGGAATACCTTGGTTTTATTGTCGATCTTGCCGGGCGAAGTCCTTATATTGAAAAAATACGCGTCAAAGGAATTGCCTGCATCACATGATATACTACTCTGCAATCCTTCCTGTACCGTCACGATGAGATTGGACCTTAAGGTGATGTGACGGCCTGCGTAACTCATCGACTCAATGAGGTATATTGGGTGGAGCACTTAGGCCTCTTAGGAGCTACACATACTGGTTAGGTCAATGGTTAGAGGTCAGAGGCACTCAGTCCCAGTCTAATTGACAGTAACCGCAATGTAACTGGAATCGAACCAGCTACCTTTTCGCCCCACCGATTGGACGCCTTTCGGTAACAGCTCCTTATAAGGCCACACTGTCCAATTTTCCTGGCGGCGTTCAACGTTCGCACTCTAAGCCAAATAGGTCAAAAGGCTGCACTCGCAGGCACGTTAGACACGCTGGGTATTAACGTGTTGTGTCCGAAAGTAGGATCAATGACCCTAATGGGGTTGTTGTATTAATTGCACCCGTTTGTCCTCTCGCTATTGGTTGCACACATCCGGAGATGCTGATGCGGCAGGCATTGTTCTCAGCTCCAAGCCTGACTCATCGTTGGTCGATTAGATTCCCGTCAGCAGCCGTTTGTGTACAGTCCGTCTGACGACATCAACTAAGGTTGATTCACGGAGTAGCACTAGACGTTGCTTGTTCGCGGTTTCCGCTTATGCCCACACCGATTGCAGCTCTGATGCTGCGAAGAACGATTTCTACCACGAAGAGATCATAGCACTTGCTGGGGTTATGAATGCGCAAGTAGACCGTCTGAGCTTTCATACGCTCATCTGGGTAGTAATTATCTACTTAACGCCCAACGGACGGACAACGGCGAGTGTCTGTTATGGCTGTGTGCGGAGCACCAGCTGTTTCTTAGTAGTATCACTTTTAGACACAGTGGGCACCGAAGTGCCACGTGCCTTCCTCCTGTACCTGATCAGCGATGGACCCTAATAGATCACGTTGCCATAAGTTACAGGTGGCGTGGTTCTGCAGTACTTCCGTCGACTCTGATCATATCTTGGTACGTTGTCATTTTTCCACGACGTTTACCGGGAGGTCTACCATATGCCTACCTCGATTAGTAAATGAAAAGTTATCTCAGCCCTCGGTCAAGCAATCCTACCAAGATGCCCTGCGTACCGAACTTTCGCTCCCTTGTCCTAATGATACTGAGATTCAGTGAAATAGTATCTAGGTCGCCGTGCACGACGCAGGAGCCTCTGCTTGTGGCACTGTCAATCGTCACCGCATCAGTCACTGGATATCCGAGAGATCGGTGAACCTGTTGGAATCCAGCAGAAAACTCCCGGCTGGCACTGAGCGCAATGTGACCAGACGGACTACTAGGCGCAAACTAAAGCGGAGTCTGTGTGCTAACAAGGAAGCCTGGTGATCCAGTCGGGATCAAGAAAGGGAGGAGGCAGGAGCAGTAGGCCATTATCGCAAGCTTTTCCAGTTGATCCGCACCACTGGTCCCAAGAAACCAGGCGCCAGTGAGACCATCAGAGACAGCGCAGGTGCACTGATACACAATAAGGAGCGCCGTATGGCTCGTTGGGCGGAACACTTTCAAGATCATTTCAGTTGGCCCCTTGCTCCCGGACCTCTCCCTATTCAGGTGATGCAGGGCGAGTTGTGGACGGTTAGTTTAGAGGCTCCATCGGAGACTAAGGTCCGAAACGCGATCACAGCCCTCAATCCTTTTCGTGCTGCTGGCCCGGATTTACCTGCACTGTTTAAGGATGGAGGTGAAGTCCTCTGCAAAGCACTGACCCTATTCGAACATATCTGGAAGGAAGAAAGTGTCCAGGCTAACTAGAGTGAATCGATTATAGTGACAATATACAAGAAGGGCAGTCGCACAGACTGTGCTAAACACATGGGTATTAGCCTAACGCCGGTGGTAATGAAATTACTGACCTCAATTCTCGTTCGTCGTTTCACTGCGGAACGAGAATCACGGATTAGGGAAGAACGTGGTTGTATGGCAGCGAAGCATCAGTTCAAATGGCTGATGTGCTGTTGTTGATGATAATGGTGATCCTTCCTGGGCATTTTAAGTTATTGCGGTGCATTTATTCCTGATACGCATCAACTTCTCGGGCCAAAGAATGAGTTGCTAGTTAAAGATCGATCCTGATTTTTGTCACTGTGATGTGAGGAAGCGCTTAGGCTCAGTAGGAAAGCTTGTACCTGACTAAATGCTGGCACATTATGATCTGAAAGCAGATATCATTGTATCCGCAAGTGCCTCTAGTTATGGTGTTTCAGCGGTTCAAATCTAGCACTATGAGATCGGTTGCCTACACATCACGTGGCTGAACGGTCGAAAGAAAATACTCACAAATCTAGAAAGAGGCATTAACTCTAACTTTCACTGTCAAAATTTTTCATCGGATGTTGTAAGGTAGCGAATTCGTATTGGAGACTGACCATAAACCATGATTAGCCATTTTCAATTCAAAGGCATACCTAAATACCCGGCGAATCGCCTCCAAAGTTGGGCGACACTGTTGCTCGGATATAATTTCACAATAGCTGACGTGCTTACGGCAGATTTCAGCTACGCCGATGCGCTGTCTCGACTTGTCGCAAAACTGCGGAGCACAGAATAAGACCGTCAGTTGCGCTTGAATCAAACGTGAAGCAGTTTCTGGGTAGTTCGATTAGAAGCCTCCCGGCTTCTTCTGTGGACATTCAGGAGCAAATCGTTATTTGTTTTTTGAGCACAAAGTGGCCAAATCGAATTACTGACAAACACCTTCACCAATTTTATTGTCGACGTGACTCGTTAGCACTGGACGATTTTTGTGTCCTGTTTGGTGGACTCGTCGTTGTTCCCAGGTCCCTGCAGGCAAGAGTATTAAGATATTCGCACCACATCATCCCGGAGTTTCCTACTGACAACGCCATCAAAGACTGTGTCGCCATATGTAGCAGTTATGCTTTAGCAGCGAAGCTCCCAAGCAACATCATCCAACTCTGGATACCAGCTTTCAAGCCTTTGGAGATGATTCACGTTGATTTCATGGCGCACTGCAAGGTCAGGGTTTCCTAATTGTGATTAGTGTTTAAGTAGCCGGACGTGTACCTGATGAACAGCGGCCACAGTACGAGAATTGCAAGTTACACAGCTCTGTTCACCGAACACATTGGTTTCCGATAATAGTTCACAATTTTCTCTCCGATGAATTTGGTGCCTTCTGTCCGTGTAATGGCATCAAACACTGTCGGTCGTCTCCTGGGCATCCCCAGTGCAACAGGCAAGCAGGAAGATTCATTGATACCTTTAAGTGTTCACTTCTAAAACTGCGGAGAAACGACAGACAGAGGAGATCATACAGCTGTTCCTGTTATCGGGCTACGCCTAACCACGGTACACCTGATTCCCAGCGAAAGCCATCTTTTCATGAGCGAAACACGTCTAACAATTTATGCAATACACTTGGTTATGTAACCTCCACGCGCGGCAGGCTTGAGCAGAAGATTTCCTTCAAGAGAGCCGATGTATGCGTCGGACACAAAAAGGAACCACCAAACCTGGTAACCTGCGATGTACGATAATGACCGGTGGAACGACCACACTACATGTGCCTTGGCTGCAAATCACCGGGATGAATACGTGCCCGGCATTTTCTCCGATGCACCTGTCTCTAGTAGTCCACGAACACCTAATCAGCGAGAGTGCTCCCACTTCCCGCTTCATACGGTAGCCTGTTTGTTGTCCTATAGCCTGTCTACTACTCCGTGCAAGTGTTGTTCATCACATGTATAAGAGTCTACGGTGGATCGATGTCTATATCCATTACCTATGCTGAATTTTTCACCATCTAAGTGCAAGGCACTTTTTCAAGACTGGAAGATGTCTATACCTCCCCTTACTCTCGGTGGCGAGACACTGGCGGTTGTGGAATTTCGTCTACCTTAGAAGTTGCATCACTGCTGTTGGAAATGAGATTTCGATGCGTATCTCAAGCGATCGTCTTGCTGTTTCCAAATTGAGGCACTTGTGGCGCCGCCATGACATCAGACGGCGAATTTGTTGTGTGACTGTCTGCGCAGTACTGGCTTTCGGCGATGTTTCTGCCCTGTGCACGTACAATGTGCTTTTAATCGGTGCAGTTGCTTGTGTTGTAATACATGTGAGAAGTCACACTTGAGCGCATTCTGACGTGTTATGGACGCTCCCAGTTTTTAAGCAGTTAGTCTTATTTTTCAACTGACGATATGATGCTTTTATTGCTTCGCCCTAATCGATATTCCTCGTTGGACGTCGTTTTCCAGAGTTGACTACTATCACAACTTTAGCAATACAATATAATATGTCTCTTCTATTCGTTTTAGGATTCAGGGCACTCAGGTGTCTCTGGTCTACACTGATTTGGCATTTGCCGAAGACTTCCGGGCTTTCCAATTTGCTGACTTACCAATTACTACCGAGTCCGATGTACTCTCGCCATCCTCATTGGATATCATGGAGACTTTCGTCAATTCCATGCTTCTTGGAACGGAGCTGTCGGATGATTCGATTGAAAAAGAGTGTTCTGAAGAGAATGGAGCCAGTATGAACGACGGGTAATTCCACAAATCACCTTGCGTCTATGTTACAATACTTCCTAGTTCGTTCAGCTCCCAGTCGGAACGGACGAAATGTTCTTCACCGCAATTACCCTTCGCGCAAAGTAGCCAGATGAAATCGGATCCGTACAGCCTAAGACATCTAGCCGCCAGGCGTGTAAACACGCTAGTTGAGAATGGTAACGACACGCGCAACCTCGCACGACTGCACCGATACCCAGGAAAGAAAGACTGATTGATAGCGAAAGTTCTTTTACTGAGGCAACCTAAGGCAAAACATGCCTTCTACACCTACATTTATATAGCTCAATAACATGGTGCTGTAATACATAAACTACGAAGTAAAGTGGATGTTGACAAGTCATATGATCTGCCACGTAGTGGCAATGTCCTGTGGAAAACGCAATTGTGTTCAGTGTTGCTTAGGACAATGGATATAGCGGCGTTGATGAGGGAGATTATGTGGAATCTGAACTTTGTTCTTACACACAACGAGGAGAGTTTAGCGGTGACTCTCGCAGTTTGAGTCGCTGCATAGTGACAGTATTGCTGAGGTGCACTCAGTGCGAGCTTCGCGACAACTTAACAAACCTTAGCGTTAATTTTTGTGTATTTCCTTCTTGAGGTCATAAGAGAGTTGACCTTTACGGAAAAGTATATTTCATACCATTTCCACTATCATGATGTGCTCCACGCCACCTGACACTTTCTGAGGTGTATTGTACTTTCAGTTGCTAATCCCAACAAAAGATGCCATACAAGTAGTCCCGCTAAATACTACCCTAGTAATCACTAGCTGTTTGACGTTATTCGAACTGACGCATACGTAGACCCTAGCGTATTTGACACCTCTGAATCTTATGTGCCATTTTGTTGTTTACCGCTCCCTAACTTTTAACACCGTTTGTTGTCTTTCTAGTCTCCCTATTTCTACTCCTATTACCACCAACAAAGCTTAACTTTTGCATGAATGTGGTACGTCTAGTGTTTCGCGCAATTTATGTGTAATTGAACAAAACTCGGCTTCAGCGATCATCCAGCTGAACACATTCATTCAGTGGATTTATCCATGTTTCTTGTTTGTACACGATGGTCTCTAGCATTTTTCTCATTCCACTCGTCCGTTTCCACGAAAGTTCTTTTTCTGTCTAACGAAGTCAATGCGTTTCCAACTCCAATCCGAGCAAACGTTGCATTTCGCGGTACCTGATCCACTAGTACTTGCTGTACGTCCGCGAGCAGACATAAGTGTATTTGTGTGGGAATAGTTTCTGGCGCTATTCAATTTGTAAAGGAACGGATTCACTACTTTGTATTGATTCAAAAACACCAGTGGAATCTGATAGTGACAGAACACTTCTTTTGATGTCTTGGCCGGGCGGGCAAGTAAAACACGATGACATCGATGCGAATGGTTTGCATCCCTTAGGATAACTTAAATTGCATAGATGTAGACATGGTACATTCAACTAATTCCATGGGTAGATCGCCTGAAAGGTAAGTAGCTCAGTTGACCGCACTCATTTTGTGACGGAGATGTAAAACCGGAGTTGCTTCCCTTTTCTAGGAATTTTCTCCATCGGTTCATTTCAAGTTGGCCAACTATGATTTGGATACAGAAGTGCGGTGAATCCAGTTGCCACGGCCCACATCGCCAGATAAACAATAACTAATAAATGTAAGAAAATGTGGTCGAATGCAAATCGAATAGAGAAAATGAAGTCAAGAAAGCAATTTGTAAAACGAATAAGGAGCGGTTGAAAATTAATGGCTGGGTTTTACAGTAGGTCCTCCTTCTCTTCCTCTTATTGTTCTTCGTTTCGTGGTTATACGGCAGCGAAACATCAATTCAAGTGGCTGATATACTACTGTTGATAATGTTTGGCTGCGTGCAAGAGACCGAACGCAGGGGCGCCACGGACTGCGTCGTGCCGATAGACTATCGAACCACTGTTGTGAATCATCCCAAATCCCCCATCCACGAAGACGGCACGCACCAACCTGACCAAGGCCTTCGATCCATTTCTCCATGCTTTTATGCCACGTAATCGACTGACCACCTCGCGGTTTCGCCCGGCCTGGTGCAGCGACGGCGCAAAACGCATACCGAGGAAACCGGTCTACGGGCAGTCGGAGGGCATGATCTAGCCAACATAGTCGATTGACCTTAAGCAGACACTCCAGTGAGGCTCCAGAAGGCTTATTGTCAAATACCAACTGGCTAACCTCAGTATTTCTCACTTGCTTTTCCCACCAGACGTGAGCAATACTCCGCAAGCACCGGTGGTCAAACACGGCAAATCGATTAATATCCTCAGTGCGAACTGGACAGGTCTCTGGTTCATAAAGTAAAACTGGTCTTATTTTCATACACCCTACAATCTCCATAGATTGTTGAGCCTCTAATATGCCACACGGGCTTGCTGATACGCGAATTAACCTTCTCAGTGCTATGACTATCAAAGGTGACGCAGCTTCCAAAGTAAGTAAACCGATTCACCACTTCCAGTGACTGCTCGGTGATAGCTAGAATCGGAGGTGTGTCATTCCAGTCCTGCAACAGTATTTTGCACTTTGATGGTGCAAAGCACATGTCGAAGCGTGCAGCGCTACGCGTCAATTCAGTTGTGATTGCATAGCCACTACGTCAGACCCAATGAGTGTTATTTGCGCGCACGCTCAAGGTTTCTCTGTCGGTCACCCAGTAAAATCTCTACTCCAAAATTGCCTGAATGATAGTGGTCAGTTTTGGTCATTACAATCACAAAATTGAAGTGGAAAGCTGATATAGGAGAACCCTAGTGAATTCCACTTGTAGGCAAACTCAGAGGATAGCTTCCCTTAGAACCTTATGTGGCCTCGGGATTCTCGGTGGATAGACTACTGTATAAGTGGAAAGGAATTAACCTGGTACTCTCTCCGTGGATCTTCTCTTTTCTGGATTCAAAGTGTTTCTTTATGCTCTTGATAAATAGGAAATGACGTTCGTTCCACAAAGACTGCTTTTGTAGATCAGAACGACATTCTAAAACCTGTGTTTTTAGCATATTTTCACTTCTTACTCATATGCAGTCCTTAATGAAAAATTCCGCAAATATAAAAAACATTTACAGAAGTACTGGCAAGAATGCCCCTCTTATCATTTATATAGATAATCCTTCATTCAACCCCCTGTACTATACTGTACCAATTTCCCCATTCCTTCTCCACCAGTCTCTAGGAGCGAGCACAAAGTACAACCGTAAGCAAGATACTGTAGACCCAGATTACACTTTCGCAACTGCAGTTGAGGAGAGAAAACCGTACTTTCCCTCAAAGATCAGATCGAAGATCTTAGTCTTATCAAGTCCATTGTTGAGCTTCTAACATCTAGACTCGAGGAGTGTAGCTTGTTAGATGAAAGTGTAAAAGTTACGGATCAAGGAAGGCGTCACTAACTTTTTTCTAATCTTTTTACAAAGCGAGATGATCTGTGCTTCTGATCTGATCTATTCAAGGCTGTACGAGTCACCTGTAACTCAAGTGAATGGCGCCTATTTATAAACAGTTCATCCAGGAGCCCAAGAGCTGTGTTGCTTCATAACGGAAACATGTACCCGTCTTTCCCTAAAACTCAATCCGTCCATTTCAAATAGGATTACATCAGTTTTAAAATGTTGTTGTGTGCCTCGAACTGTGAGGAGTATGGCTGAGGAATCATTGGAGACTTCAAAATGGTGTCATTCTTTATGAGACTCGCATGACTTCGCTTGTTCCCGTTCTTTGTCCTTTCGTAAGAGCTCAGATATGACATTTATGGTAACAAAATTACGCAGTACACACCGTTTCAACGGTTAATCCTTTGTTGCATGTCGTTCACTTTTTCATAAGCGTTTCAACTGCATTTCTGTCTTTTCAAGTTTTTCAGATATTTTTTCATATATGTTGGGTGGCACCTGAGTAACCTTGCAACCACTGCGGAAAGTTCTTACTCAGCGATTTCGATCCTCGTTGCCATGAGTTCGCGGTTCCCCCAACTAGATACGGATAGGAATACAACGCGGTCCCGTGAGATCTGATGCCATACCACGAGCGGGCGAAAAATGAGCGATATGTGACTGCGGATAGCGACGCAAGCAATCGGTTCGAGGTTAAAGCAATCCAACTGACCGAAACACAATTTGAGTCACTGACTTAACATCTACTTGCCATAAATATCTATATCACCATTCGAGCGTATCGACACCTTCGCGTTCTCAAAGCAGTTTCCTATTTCAACATGAAAACAGTTATCACAACCACATCTCATATCTTGGATCTCATGAATCTACTCACTTACTCTGTCAAGATTAATATTTGATCAAACTGAAATCATCGCATATCTGCTTGTATAAAACTGATCAAGCCTCCTTTGGTGTGCCTCGTGTAACATCGAGATTATACATTATCATTATTTTTTAAAATGGTTCCACCAAGTTGTGATGCTCTCTTTGCTTGTGAGACATCCGGAACACTAAGGCATACTACCACCGGAGGAATTAGCCGCAGCGATCAAAATTCTCTGTGAGGAAAACAGCGTTAAATGGGAGCCGCTGGTAGAGCGTCAAGGTTCTGTTGCCTCATCGAATAATTTGTCAGGGCTCTAGACAGGGGGTCGGCAGCTTTTATGCACTTGCAAGTTTGTTTTCAAAGCTATTAAAGAAAAAGATAAAAGCTGGTATCTTCGTCGCATTACAGATAAAGGAGATTATGGGATGTGCTGAATTCGAGGATAAACTGTATTAGACCGAGAAAGCCGGTTGCATCGGTTCACGGCTTCTTGGGTAATCACTATGAGCTGTGGCAGTGCTGTAGCACTGGATTGACCCATAGAGCAGTGGGGTACATGAAGGTTCGTTTGAAGGTCTCTATCTAGGGTCTTCGGCTCAATATCCTGACCCACAAATCGGAAATATGATCACAGAGACCGCTCCGCATTCAGACGTTAGGAAACTGACTGATCTCCCATATGTGATTGGGAGGACCGGATAAGTGACTCTTGCTTAACAACAGGCTCTTCGACGCTTCACTATGGTATATGTTGAACTCGAAAACCCTTTGGTGGCTAGATCATGTGTTTCGCATACCAGCGAACCGCCTTCATCGGCTTGTGTTGCCTAGATTATTGTGCCTAATCGGATGCAGCCCCGAAATGATCGGGCAATTGCGTAACATACTAGTGTAAAGTGGCTCACCGAAAATCTGAGTCGAGTCCGCGTTCGCCGCCTCTACAGTTAAATGCTCCATTTGATATGGCACAACCATGAAATTCGTGTCTCTATCGCATTCGTTCGCTTATTTTTATTCCTCTTTGCCATAATCATTATACACATTGGTGGAGGTGGAAAACACCTCGCCTATTGTGCTGCAATACCAAAGAAAAAACTGCAATGGAGGCACGCCGGCTGAGGTACCAGTAACGAACGGACATCGTTCCGGCGACCTAACAGCCGGCTGTTTTGCCGCAAATAACACTTACCTTATGACTAGTAAATGAGATTGTGGTTGGAGGGAAGGGACAAAGAAACTCACAACACAAACGCCACTGAGGTCGGCTCCTAATTATGTTAAATGTATTCATCCAATATATATATATATATATATATATATAATCACTGAAGTTGATGTATACATCATGCTTTTCACGGCAGTTGGGCTGCGCCGGCTTACACTTTGACTAGACCTTCTTAACCTTTGTACAAAATATTCCTCTTTATTTGATTTGCTCTATTCTGTTATACTGATGCACATTCCGTGTCAATTTTGCGCATTTACCTTCCGTCGAATTCGGTGTTGGTTGTTTGATATCCCTGACGTGGCTGCGTTTGATGTGAATGTTCATAAAGTGCCTACCTGTCTAACACCCTCCACCTCGATTCCTGGTTCCAGGAGACTGAATCGTTGCCGGGTGCGGGGTGCACGGTCCTCGTGGTCGTGTTAGACCCAAAGGGCGGTTCCATCCTGTGTGAAGCGGACTACGGTTCAGCCACTGCCATGGGTACGCCTGGTACGCATGATTTCCAATTTAGATAAAGAGGAACGCTGCTGTGTATGTTGTAGGAGTGTGGGCCGGCACCGTTGATGTAACCTGGCTCCCATCCACATGCCTGCCGGTCTTATTCTTTCGGTTTTACACTGGATATGGGGTGTGTGGATGGAGTTGTGGGTGATGCAGCGCAAATGTACCTACTAAGGTGCGGTTTTGTTAGAATTCGAGGAATTATCTAATTTCAACAAAGGTGCCTCAACCAGTATTTTGTCTATTCATTTGCCTGATATTGGACGCGTCATGTCGTTTAAACGCTTGCATTATCGCTGGCTACACATATCTTGTCTGCAATGTGTATTCTTATTATTTTTGGTCTCAGTTTAGACATCAAACCAGAAAGACTACCAAACCCTTGGATCCAGCGTCTGTTCTCTTGGTTCAGGACACGTGGACTATGCAATTCCCAAAATTGTCAGTTCGAAGCCTCAACAAATTCCACGAACCGTTGGCTGGATCCTCGCGCTTTTCCCGGACTGGAACCACTACTCACGCGATTGGACTCTGCTGAGGTGGACACTGCATTAGTCGAAGCTCGAGAAGGTTTGATTAGCTCACTACCCGCATTATTGACTACAAGATCGGAAAGCACAGAGGAGCCGGTTTCCTTGGTTGCGAAAAGGCGTCGGTTGATGCTTAGCCAGCTATTTGGGCTGAGTTCAGAAGCCTCAAACCCCCAGATGGCCACGACTTCAAAACCTGAATTTATTCCAGATGAACCTGTTTCCATTACGGATTACAGGACAGCTGGCTATTTTAATTCATCATACCCGAAGCCCGAAAGATTCGACAACGGTACGTGCAGACTTTTGAGGCCCTGCATCTTCTCTTCAGTTAAGGGCTATTTTTATTTGACGTTCTTGTGTCAATTCCACTCGTCAATTTTAGAATGATCCGAGCTCTTTACAATGACATTATGATCCGTCGCGTATGACTCGGTCGTTGTGATTTCTGGTTTCTCTGACCCGCGTTATATCTACGCGCGTTACTGTTACATCAAACGCAGAGCTTCACTCAGTTCACGGTCAGTTTCGTCCCTGTTTGGACTCCAGGTAGAGATGCCCGGAATTTGGAATCGAGCCGTGATCACTAAGTTCAGAGTTGCTTTTTACACACCCAAGTGTAATACAGTAAAATCTCCGTAAGTTGACCACTGGTCAACATAGTGAGGTCTGCATTCATAAGGTTGACATGATGAACGTACAAGTAATGGAGAGAAAAACGTCAACTTGGAGAGGCAGTTGACCTCGGAGGTTTTCCTGTATATCCAATTGCTTCGGTACAAATGAGGGAGCTGGGTTGATCCAAAACAGCATATCATCACTATCGCCAAATGTAAGAGAGCGAACGCAAAGACTCCACCGGCATTGTTCTTAACCATTCATCTGGCTGAGTCCCTCATCTAGTGGGGTGTTTTACACCAAATCAGGTCAAACCTTTGGTGAATCTTTCATATTTTGCCATATTATTGTCCGATGGCCTCAGTACAGCTCCAAAATAGATCCTACGCTAAAATGTAACATCAACAGCTCCACAGCTGTGCGGGAAATATGGTTTCGCCACCGTGAGCGATTTAAGTTCAAACGGTGGTACACCGCCGCGTTGCCTAATGCCAAGTAAATGGGCCTAAGTATTACTTACTGGGTGATTCCAGTAGATATGATCGAGTTTGCAAATATCACTGATAAAATATGGCCACGCCATGTTTATGCCTGATATATATGATAGCTCTGTAAGCACTGTAAGTGTTCTGAACCATTCGTTGAACCGACAGGCTGCTGCCTCGCTCCATACTTCAGCGAGTGAAACTCCATGAGATCGCACGACTCTTGGTGACGCGTGCTGAAGTGTTCGCCAGAGGTGCTACGGTTATCTAACCACATTAATTCGTTGGTCAATCCACGCGAGTGCTCCGTTGTAATTGTGGCGATGTGTTGACTAACTCTGCGGTGCTGCTTTGCGCTTTGAGAGTGCAAACTACATGCTACATCGTGAGGCATCCTGCATTAGTCAACCCAAAGGCGCCCGAATTGCGACTGGGCCGGACTCCAAGGATACATACTCTAATACTAAAAGCCAGCCGTGAAGTAGCTGTTCACAACACGGAGCAGAAAACGGAGTAGATCGGCTCGTGGGGGTGGATTGTAATCGACAAAATGCTTCGGTAGTTGAACAACGCACAGATTACCATACACCTTTACGAAGACAAAGTTAAGTACTGCTCCCGCAGTATGTACACGATTGATAATGAACACATTTTAATGAGTTCCATGTACCACAGGTTCCACTTAAAACTCCGGTGAGCGAACAATCCTAACTCGTTGCGTCTCCGAACCGTATCAACTCCTCGAGACAACTGCGAGCGAAACTACAGGACGGAAACACACAATGTCGCACAACTACAGATTAGTCTATTGGACACTGACAGAACAAGCTGCGCAATCCGATGGTGTAGAGCACCCGGTATTACTTGGTAGAAACAGCTCGCATCGGAGCGGATTGAAAACGGCGCATACCGGTTTGTTTCCTGTGGCTGAGTCAGAGTGGGTCAACAGAAAAGCGGTTTTTACTACCGAATTGGGACAGTTTTAGAAAACTCGGACAGATTAAGAACTCAGGATCAGCCTTTAGTGAACTCGCGCACGGTCGCGGTGTGGAGATTTAGGATATAAGGGAATATCTCCGACGTTCCCTCAGGGGGAATCAAGTATACACAGTTAGGAGAAAGCAAGCTTTCGAGTCAGTTAGAATTATTCGATTTGGCCGTTCTTATGTGCGGTTGTCTTATAGCAGTTATCGACCTACGATACGGGCAATACACCCAGAGTAAAAGCGAGACTTGATTTCAGCATCTCAGCTGTCATGGCGATCATTTAGCTACAACAGTGTGACAAATTAGAATAGATGTAGGAAATGGAGATTAGACCAACCATCTGCATTTTCAAGAACAAAATACCGAAGGTAAACAATTGCTTTCAACGGAGCCACTCCTTCGTGTTTACAACAAAGACAAGTTTCCGACGCTGACCGCTTCTGTGGTCATTTATCAGTTTGAGTGCGCCTGTGGCGCTACTTACATCTGTTGAACGGCGCGGCAACTGTCGAAGCGCATTAAGGAGTACCTACCACGCTGGTTGCGTCGAGGCACTACTGGGGCTATAACTAGCTTTGTCGTGGCTCATCTTGTTGATAGGGGGCATGAGATTGACCCAATCCTTGCATTTTGGATACTTTATAGGGTCCCTCTTCTCCAGTCGGAAGGCCTGCGCCTCCGCACCCTTACTACTGCCGAGGCGATCAGCATTCGGTTGTATGAACCGATTCTGTATGCACAAAAGAAGCTGATCGAAGCTGTTAAGCTATCTTAATTAGAGAAAACGGATCCTTCTGAGGGCAACTGTAATTGTGCAACTACACCTTTGTCCTAGTTTGTCGTTTGTTGCTGGTTCATGCCCTTGGTCGGCACGTGATCGCATCTCATTTGAACTGATCGAATCCACTTTTACACCCATTGCTATTTCACTCATATGATTCTACGGGTCTGAAGATGTTCTTGATAATGAAATGGGAATTTTCCATTTACTGAAATTATCTGCATTTTGCTAGATGTCCTTTGCCAGTTCTCGAATATGGTAGTAACAACCGCCAGTTGGACGGTACTCGGCTGACCGCTACTACCTTCATGGGGCCTAGAGATAATAGCTACCGCGGCGTAAGTTATAGGCCACGTCCGCCAGATAGTTGAGCGGAGTGCATGTTATTGATGAAGCGGTCATCCCATGCTCTTCTGAGACAGACAACTGGCTGACAGTTGATTCAAGCTGATATAATCCACAATTTCAAAATTGCGACTTGGGCCTAGCACATGAAGAACTTCGGAGTTTATGCCTAAATGTGTCAAGAACACAGATCAGCAGAAGAACTCTGTTTTTACTACGTACCCATTTTTACAAATAGGATCATCCGGGCACAATGTGGCGGTGATAGTGTGGGTGTGAGAGCACGGCACACGACTCCCCGAGGATGCGCGTAGGCTCAGCAGGCGAGCGTCTGCTATACAAACAAGCGAGAGGAAATACGCGTCACAGTTGCGGGTGCGAGCGCGGTTCTCGTCTAGATGATTGTTAGAAGAACGAATCAATCGAGTCTGAAGTGATCGAACACATTTGAATGGAACTCAATCTGAGATTCAGTGCAGGCTAACACGTGTTTAATTTCACTTATATCTATTACGTGCCTTTATTCATCTGCTTCTATAAAACCCCATTACCTATTGAGACAGATGTACTGCATTCTCGGCCTGTCTCGTGTTCTTACTGTTGGTGTGGATGAAAGCCATCGGGGGCGATACGGCATTGATGAGCCCACATAGCAAGGCGACTGGTTGCTTGGCTTTCTCTGTCACAAAACGGCCAAAACATGAGCACGCGCGTCTCAGCTCAGCGCGTCCGATCAAACATTATTTGTGAAAAGAATATTCACGGGCTACTCATTTTTATTTTACAACGAACTGGTTGTTAACAGACCACTTTCTGGCACCTTCAATCACTTTAGTGCACTGTTTCGAAGTGGGCTCTAATTCTACTTCCTTCGTACTGAACAACCGAAACGTATGAACTCCCAATTGACGTTTTACAACTGTCAACTCCTTTGCTTCTCTGAAGCACGGTAAAAGATGTGGATTTTTAACATCGTTTACTAAATATGCTCCCTTTCCAGACTACAATTCTGCCAAAGACGACATGCGCCCAAACGGTGACGTGTTCCAGAAGCAGCTCGGGACTGCAGCTTCCTCATCCGACCCACTCGATGCGGAGCGTTGTAAACCGGTGATCTCCAGATTAGATTTTCAGAAGCAGCTGGACGTGGAAGATTTGGTAGGACCGCTGATTATTAATTTTGCTCCATTCTGATCGTTTTAATTTCATTATAACTATACAAGTGCTGATCGGGCTCTCACATAAGTGGTTGTTGTGTTAGAGTAGCTCGATCCTCCGTTAATGGAAACACAACAAGTACCACACGCAGGGAACTCTTCTTCAATCACCTACTGATGATTGCCCAACTAAAGAGAATTTGTCAATATCCACATTTTTTGAGCTCACACTAACACCACGTTCATTGGTACAGACGCGCACTCGACCGCTTGTTTCGTCTCTTCTCAGTTTACCGTCAATGCATCCTGACAGCGCTCTAGGAAGTGCACCTTTTTAATAGCGGCTCACGAATTCAGGATTCTAAGTATGTCGTTGTCCATAATAGCCACGTATTTGTTGCCAACAGCATTTTCGCATCAATTTCAAACCACCGAAATATGTACACTCATGTGCTACCGAAGTGCTTTCTAATACCTGCACTTTCGGGTGAGCCGGATATGTCACCCCCGGCACGTATGCAACGAACGCCAAGTTTCCGAAGCACAACGGACAGTCTAATCCCTCGTATTTTTGATGTTTTGCGCCTAGTTGAGCAAGTTGCTCGCGCGACATGCTATCCAAGATTGGCGTAATCCATCAAAGTCTTCCACATCACGGTAACTTTGTGCCTAGTCCGGTTCATTACCATCACATATCCGCGCCCAACATCCTGTTCGATACTCCATATCCTAGAATTATTTCGAGAGGAAAGAGCTCTGGCCACGTCTGTGTATATGACCTCTTTGAGTAGAGGCTACGATACCCTTCAGTACATATCTTCCAGTTAGCACTGATTCAGTTCAATACTGTTCTACTTTTATGTAATGACATAAGACCTAATTCAATATCTTGGAGTAGGCTTGAAACCGAATGGGAGTTGATGATTTCAGGTTTCGCATACAATGGTTTTTATTTTGGCAACGCTCTTGACGCAAGGGCTTCTTCGGGCCAGGTGAATCGGTAAACAATGGCTTAGCTTCTAATGGCCGAGTGTGGCAAAGATTTCGAGGAAGCTCACGAATAAGTGGATAGTGGCGTTACAGATCAAATGGCCATTCTACTGCAACTACAAGCATCGAGCGTTCCCGATTAATTTGCGACAAACGTCATTCACATGTGGTATTCTTTTTTCTGCTACTGCAGATTCACCGTCCGACCACCGACTGGCCGGGTTAAGATAGCTTGGCACGCGCTTGATAACTCCACTCGGTCCGTTCATTTTACAGTTATTAGCCTTGGTACTCTCAATTGTCTCAGCAACTAACTTTTGGTCTGTTACTTGTAATACTCTCTTAATTATCTCGATATCGTCCCATGAGATTTCGTGTCCCACTTATAGCGCATATATAACTACCGGTAAATCTCTTGGTAGACTCCTGTATTCAGGTTTATCAGTGGACGCGAAACGTGTATCCTGTGTTCTGCGATTCCCGCGCATAGCTCTCTCGCTGTCAGATCTTTGTACACTTATTCACAATCTTTGTTAGTGATTCTATAAATGCAATTGGTCATCCTATCCCTTGCAATCAAGTTGCTTAGCTCGGCAGATCCTTTAAACGCAGCAGCGCTGAAAGGAACATTTGATCCTTTTGAAAAACCATTCTTATTTTCTACTTGTTTAATACTCGCCTGATTGCTTCAGAGATTCCCTTTTATAAGGGATTCCCGCCATCCTAATCCACTCTGTCCCGCATCGCGAAGCCGGATTTAGAGCTCTCTGCAACTGGCGTTTCACCAGCCGCCTCGGATATCCACTGTCTAGTAATTTGCTCACTGTCTCTTTAACAGCGGCCTTCTTCTGGGCTCTGTGAAATAGAGAAGGTGCGACAGCAACATGGACGTGCTTTGGATGACCCGAATACAGTACACAGTATTCATACTATATCTGTCGGTTCGTGATACATCGTTGTCTTTGACCGTTCTCCGTTCATATGAATTAGGCAATCACAGAATGGTGACACTACAAGATTCTAGTTCAACAGCTTAATTTATGTTCTCATTAACGGAGCTCACATGATTTAGAAAGTCCTACTTCGTAGCCCGCTTTATAAACACAAATGTGTCATCTACGTAGCGCCACCAAAACTTTGGCGAACTGCTGGTTTGTCAGCGCCCTCCTCTCAGTCTTTTTACACCCTGTTCCTGAGCGTGCAGTCTGGACTGGAACGTGAAATACGACACACTGAAGCATACTTTTATTCAAAATTGGACTTGATGTACCAGTGTTGGGAAGAGCAACACCGAAATATTTCCACACTTTTATCCCTTCGATTATCTGGTCTACCGTGAGGTCCGTTTGCTCCCTCAGGCTATTGTCTTCAATCAGACTGCTGTGCGTCATCTTTGGATGCGTTAGTGAATAGGGCACTAACAGCGAAACTAACCATTATTCCATCTGATGCAATGGTCAGACTTGCTACCTTTTGTGCGAACCCTTAAGAGTTCCGTACGAGCGTATTTCTTCGCTCTGGTAGAGGATGCAATAAGCTTGCCAAACACCTGGCTAATTCCTGCTTCAGAGAACGGATACCACCTATAGTGAGCCGAACGGGGACGTCGGGCTTATGTATCTACGAAGTCCATAGATCCTAGGCGGAATAGTTGATTTAGGGTATACGTCGTAACATTTATCTGACCCTAGATAGCCTTTCAGAAGCCTGCCTCTGTTTTACTCGTATTCACTGGGGACGATACAGTTGTTACTCACTTACTTCGTGGGGACCTGTTTCTAAAATGCCGTTACATTTTTTCGACATAATTCGACTTGCTCATTATCACTACGGTCTTCATCGGCCTTTAATACAGTATGCTTCGCTGTCCACTACCTATACAGCTATTGAAGATGCTCATTTTGTCACCACGGTCTAAACGCTAGAAATAACTTCTGCGGTTAATTTAGATCTATGTATATCTAGACTAACCACATATGGACGCGCAAATCATGCGTGGCAACTTTCGAAATTGGTCGTCTGATAGTTCCTTATTCGTCTTAAATAAGTTACCCGGAAGCCAAATGGTATGCCTTTTCGGAGACTTCGCATACTGTGGTCCTTAAAATGACCGTCGACCATCATAAGCATGACATTCCTCATGTTTTGTTGCAGATACACGACTTGGAGTAACGCAGATTGAGAGGATGTGAAGCTATCGTTGACGCAATCCAATTTTAAACTGCCTTTCTTTATTTTACTTACTGTGCCCAATAATGCTTTTCATTTCTTGAAATCAAGCACTTGTCAACTGTTTCTTTTTTATAACTAACTGGAACTGGGCGAACTCTAAGTCATCTTGACAGCTTACCAACCCAAATGCAGCTGCGGCTATCTCAAGAATTCTAGCCTTATTGTGCACCGGTCACACCATCTACTGCATACAGCGGGACAAGCGGAAACAACGACGGATGCTCTTCCTTTCACCCGTCCACTTCGTCATGTTGTACCTATTCTTGTTCCCACTACTCACTGTTTGTGTGTCTCGCTTTCTAGTCCGATATCCACCCGATTCAGTTCGGATATGGTTCGAGATATTGAAATGTACGACTCACAACTGGTGCCAGTGGCGTGCTTACTGTCGCGTCAAATGTGTGCCACATGCTTATAGTTCGTATGTGCGTGATCAAACTGATGCGAGATAGAAGTTATAAGGTAACTGCGCCCCTCATTTACGTACCGGAGCCAGCCGCTTGTTGCCGTGCGTGGATAGCCGCCTACATGTTAGCTTGTGGAGTGTAATTTTCCCACCAAGCCCCTTATCACTGTGGTTGTACGGAAGCGAGGCTCACTGCATGCCGCAACTTAATTCCAAACACAGGGCAATCTGGCGGCGCGAGTTCCTAACCGCATTGACAAGTGTCGGTTGCAAAGACAGGTAGACTAGTGATGAGGACTGTTGTCAGTAATCACTACGCCGCAGGTTCGAGACCTACCCTGGCCATCACAAAGAATCCAAATAAAAGCAAAATTAGTCTAGGAGCGCGCAGTGTTGGCAGTGTCCCTCGTCGATACGTAACGCAAATCCCCAAAGGTAGAATTTGTGGAAAGATTGCGCAATGTGTGGACATCTCCGTCTAAACAGCAACAGTCTAGCTCTGCATGCAGTTGCTTCCATGGGAACTCCGTCTCTGGCAATCATCCTTAAGAAATGGCTACTAAGAATGGAATCGTTATTACCTGTTCGGTGTAAATATGGCACAAGTAAAAAGTTGAAGTTAACCTGAGAATGCTCTTTTTTGACTGTATAGTGGAAAAGCTGTACAAGGAGAGTTCTGTCGGTGCTGTTCAGATCATACTTTTATACGATCCGATCTAACTAAAATGGCGATTTTACCGTGGAATCCTTGCGCAGTTTCTTTGTCTTTAACGTAACACACTTCGAAGTGTTAGTGTCTTTAGGCTCAATTTGTGGCATCTTCGGGGCCACCTTGAGTGTAATCTGATCACTGGTGAGGTCGATGATGTGATCGGCTATAGCTCCGACTGTATGCAAGTTTACCGATAGTCGCTTCAAAACTTCGTTCGTTTTAAAAAATTCTGGTATGACAGAAAGTTCTTCAGCAGTATAGATGTCTAAAAACAGATAAAAGGAGCAAGTGGGATTTGAAGGCAGTGTGGACATTATGCGGGTAAACCATGGTAACACTGCAGTCTCATCATCAAAAAATTTATTAATCACCAAAATGAGTATTTGGTGTTTTTCTTCGCAATGTCTTGTATGCGTTTCTCGAGATCGCATCCATCACATGACGGGAACAACGCTCTGTCATCTCACATGTTCTCGGCCACCTGATTTACGCAAATTAAAGTACATTATCAATTAATTTCTTGGATCAGCTGAATGACAACCGTTGATAAATAGTCAGAAGCAATTGTTCAGACAGAGATCGTCGCTTTCTCCCACCTCGGGTGGACGTCGGACCTGTTAAACTGGTGGATTCAAATACAGGTGTTATGATCGCACGTTGTTTCCGTATCCTATTGGGAGACAATTGCAGCGAGGTGTAGAGTGGTAAAAGTATAAAGGGGCTCACCTAGGATGCAGTGGTACAACTCCAAGCACGCTGTGGCACATCCGCATCGCCACACATTCCTGCGGATGAATCTCAAGAGGCGCGTAAGTTGCACACCATCACGACCAGCAACAGCTGCGGTCAAATTTCCTCGCCTGACCAGCTCTCGAATGACAGCCACAGCGTAGAGACGATGCTTGTGTGGAGCCATTGGGGCGACTCGGCCGGATTGCTTGGTCAAAATGCGGGATCGCGTGACTGCTGACAACGCTTGAGAATGAGTGAATCGTTTGAGCATATGGTCTATCTTACACAAAACATCAGATGAGCCTGAGTCCGAGAAGAAGCGGAAGCCGTCGCGAGAGATTTCGGAAGTCTGCGTAGGGTAGAAAATAGGGGGTTTGGGTGGAACTAGGCACACACTATACACGTTAGCTAGAGGTGGGAAACACCTCAGCTACTGTGCCGCAATATCTAAAAGAAATAAAATGCAACAGGTGCAAGCCAGCTGAGCTACCGGTAACGGATGGGCATCGTTCCGGCGAGGTACCTGCCGGCTACTATGCAGCAGAAAAAAATTTACTATGCGAAATTATAAAATGCTAAATAATTAGATCGTGGTTAGAGGGGGAGGCTGAGGGATGGGGTGGTACAAAGAAACTCACAACACGAACGCCACTGAGGTCGGATCCTAGCAATGTCATCAAGTGTATCCAGCCAAACGTGTTCATCGTTTTCCGGACACCAACCAGGGAGCCGAGACGCTCCAACCGAGGCCAGCTTCGAAGTGAGGGCCTTCATTCCTCTGGACCAAGTCATCGCTTGGCCACTTTTCCTCTTCTCCCATCCACACCCCCGGCGCGCAAACAACGCACGTCGCGCGAGTCGGTGGGCTGGCATGCGTAACACGTGGCCGAGCCATCGGAGCTTGGTGCGTGAAATAACGGTGCAGAGCGGTTCCTTTCCTTCTCCTGTGCCGTAAACAAAACGTCGAATAGACGCGGTGTTCCCACTAGATGTGAGCTAAATTGCGAAGGCACCGGTGGTCGAACGTAACTAGCCTCTTTATGTCCGCTGATCTAAGGGGCCAGGTTTCGCAACCGTACAGTAACGTCGAACGTACCGCTGCATTGTACACTCTACCCTTTCATGGCGAGAGCGATGCGCCGGCGCCATAAGTGGCGAAGGTTAGCAAAAGCGGCTCGAGGCGCTTTTGCTATACCGTTCGTGATGTCATCTTCAATCCCACGGGCGCTGATACAACTTCCCAGGTAGTTGAATTTCCGATCGACTTCTGGCTGATCCCCACCAAGGGTCAGTGAAGGAGGCGGTCCAGACCAATTTTGGAGGAACGCTTTGCACTTCGATGGTGTAAAGCAAAGCCCGAAGCGGCTAACAGCCAGTGCTAACCTGTTCAGTGCCGCTTGGCACGTCTGGAAGCTGTCACCTGGGAGCAGAGCCACACCTTCTAAGTCGTGTCCTGTGAATGAGATTTCCATGACTTCGTCAATAGCGAAGTTGAAGAGGAAAGATGACAGCGGGCATCCTTGTCTCACATCGCTGGAGATATGAAAGGGCGACGACAGCTTGCCGTAAGCCCTCACACTGCCTGAGCTACGCGCGTCAATGATCGGATAGTATTTACATATTTCTCAGGTACACCTTTCCTGAGTAGACAGTTCTAAAGTGCACGTTTATCCACCGAATCGAATGCATCTTTAATATCGATGAACACGACAAGGTGGAATTATAATGCGATTAATTTCGGTTCAAAGGTTCTTTTCCTACATACATTGCGCTATGTGGCACACGCGGACACTGGTACAGGCCTGGGGTGCCGGATATAAAGCGAGTTCCTTACTCTGATTCTAACGGAGTGCTAAACGCTTGGAACAGTCTGCCAGAACAAGTCGTGAAGGCCAGCTCTGTTGGATTTGCATTCGATTCAGCGAGCGATTGCACATTAGAAATGACCTCTTAGATTTGTGAGCCGTAGGATACTGTAAGTCAGTTTTAAATACTATATAAAATATGAAAGAAAGCTTAGAGCATAAACAGGTGGCCGATACTTTTTATGACACTTCGGTATTTTTCGACGGAGTTCTACGGATTTAAATGTTTACATGCTCCAACCACACGGTGTTCATGAAAGCTACCCATATGCATGGAGCAGTGGTTACGTTCAAGTAACATCCTGCATCTACTTATTGCCGAGCATCCCGGTTTACACACACACAATCGTGGTTCCATACAAGCGCTCTCGCTTGTCATGACCTAGGTGTCGGTGAAAGACAAACACGGTTTCATGATGTCACACCGTGTTGATCACTAAAAGAAATTTGCTGGTCCTTCTAATAATTGGTATAACATGAGCTAATGTGGGTCGAGTTGGATTTTCGCCTAGTAAGCGTTCTCTCTATGAAATGGTTTAAATGCCTGTTTGACAACAGTGCGATGTGCCCTAAGTGGTTAACCAGTCATTGCCCCTTTCTCTACTCCGATGGATCAATGTATTCCAGCGGCCTCTTGTTGAAATCTTTGGGAGAATTGACCCGTATTTGGTGACCAGCCAAGCGAAAGGCACATAAACTGGGCAATCAGCCACCGACTTCCAGTGGATATGGTTCCCTGCATTCACCCAGCTAAACTGCCGGTAGTATATCCATCCAAAGGCTCGGATTGTCTTCTGAGTCAACTCTCTGATTAGGGTTGGACAACCAGATAGTATTACATTCTGTGGAAAGATAGACTGTCCTACTTTGTTGTCATCGCTGCCTCTTACATTCACGCGACTTCATCACACACCAACTAGCTTGTTAACAATCCATGTTACACTTTAGCTAATTCCTGTTTTCATGGATCTACTTCTGACACCGGTTGCAGCATAAAAGAAAAATAGCAAAGGAAGTACGCAGACAATGGAAGAGCTGAGTCTCATCGAACGCTGGAAACATGACGAGCACAAGAGCGATCTTCCCTAACAGTAAAACCGAGGATAGCTAACCCGCATTGTCGGAGGTCGTGTAGGCTCCGTATAGCTACTACGGAAATCGGCCAGGTGCTTTCTTAGCGCTAGCTAAATTACACAAATGCAGCACATATCTTGCACACTATTCTTGGAGTTAAGATGCCATGGAGGAGTACTCTACTAGGATTGAAAGAATTTAGCCACCCTAAGCTGGTACATACGACCTCTTTTCTGGTGCAGTACTAATACTGAAATGGCTAGTGCTATCGCGCTTGTTCCGTGTGAAGTGCAAGCAGTATACTGTACCGATGCTTCTCTACACTCAATCACCGCCAGTCGCGCGTGGGCCAAGGATACTGTGAGGGTAGTCCGGCCCCCTACACAGGCTCGAAATGATGAGGTCCAGGTTGCAATGCAGACGCCTTGGTCTTTCGGCGAGCGGCCGGTCATGTGGAAACGTATAGGCAGCTGTGTCGAAATGACTGCCATTATAGTATTCGTTTCTCCATATCACAGGGAAATAATCGACAAAGATGCTATGCTCACAGTCCGTCTCAACAACATATGTTTGTGGGTGCATGCTGGTCTTACAGTCAGAGCTAAGGTAATCGAGTCACGAAGAGTTTGAAAGAGAGGCAACTACCCAATGACTTTAGATGCACAACGTTTCCATTCGTTGTGCGACAGAAATTGAGTCAGAGGGCGGCGGAGAGTCTCACCATCGGAGTAGCCGATCCCATTCAGGGAAAAGGCATACGCTAGCAGGATCGATCTCTTCAGTTGTGTGCCTCATGCTACTTGGAAATGCGATCTATCTGCCAGTTGGAAGCTGCACAGGCAAATAATACATGTTGATGTAAGGCATTCGAAGAGCGGGACAAAGCTAGTATTGTGTGGCTCAGGTCTGAAGTAGCCGATTCAAAACGCAGAGAAGACGGGTCATTCTTTCGGAATCTGCTGCAGAGGATACCACAATGTGTGTGTTTATCTGAGGCTATAGTGTTGATTCAGTTGGACAGACAGCCAAAACGGGAGTGTACACGCTAGAATACACACATATTGTAGCACTTGCCAAACATATAAGCCTCTGCTAGTACTTTTAATGACTGCCATCTGCGTTGCTATTGCAACCAAATTTCCTTTTATGATCAGTCTGCTGACTGCACGTTGCATCTCACGACGTCGACTGATACACCATCATTGTAAAGACGCTTCTACGTTCACTCTCTCGATAGGGCACTATTACTTCGTACCAACAATTCGTTGCCATGTAACCATAAGTGCTAGTGCACAGGCTGGAAAACTTCTGTGGCGCCCAAACTTACCCAGGATTTAGGTCTCGAATTCGGGATATAGATGTTACAAGAATGAACGCAAGTGAATAGAATGAGGCCACTGCGTCCACGAAAATGATAGGCAAAAAATTGAGAACCATTGCATCAAAAATTTTTCACCTCATGTATAAGTGGTACAGGGTGTCCAAACCGACTAGCTCGATCAGTCGCGATCCATTTCACTGGGGCTTTCCGTGGGCCATCAAATGGTTGCTCAAGCCAGTCATCGGTGGTCATTGACATGAGTGGATTGCCTCCACGCCAACGTCCGGAAAAGCGATCGGCTAGTTTTACATATGAGGACGGCAAACCGCCAGGCGATCCAAAATCGGGGTCAGCATTCCCGGTCAAATCCGCTCGATGATCGGATTTGTCACTCATCGCTAGACGTGTAAGACTCTCCGTGTTCAAGTGATGAGCTCTGACGAATCCTTTTTCTCCACCGACTATGATTGTGGCACAATCGGGCTAAAGATAAGTGAGCAGAGACAAGATGGTTAAAACACACAGTATAACGATATGCCTGTCAATTGTGTACATAAATAGTGGTAAACACCTGACACAAAACGCCGCAGCACCTTAGAGTCCAAATATGCCCAATTCAGGATGTCTCCTGCTCCCACGGGTTAGGCGATTACAGAACGACAAAGAGCACCGCGAAACGGGGCCTTTAAATCGGCCATGCTCTTTACGCTGAACATCATTTCTACGTTATCTACTGTGGATATATCAGCTTGCAAAAATATTTTGAAAATCTGTTTGTTCAAACTACTTTTAAGGTCACCGAGGCCGTCTTTTTCCATGTTTTGAACACTATATACTACACACGATTCACGATTTGTTGCTTTTGGACACGAAATTTTTGGCCAGCTGAAAACAATTATGAAGAAATGTTTCCATTACACACGGCTGTGTCGGCTGAACACAAATCCTGAGAATTCCGTTCAACAATGTGCGCTCGTTGCCCTAGAATGCGGGTCTGTTTCCACGACTGACATGGGAAACAGCCTTTTCCCTTTCGGTTTTTCAGTTATAAGATGTTTCACATTTTGTGAGGTCATTTCAGTTCATCTGTAGTTTGTAATGCAGGGCTTAACTTGACTTTAAGTCAAATAAATTACGCATACATTCGTATTCCACCGCGGTTACAGTTACATCTGAACTGATGATATTTGGTAGTAGAGCCTACCAGGTTAGTGATAAAACGCATTTTTGGTGGCACCGGGGGAGAATACAATCAATGGCAAGACATGCGATGATTACAAACTAGGAACATATAGCGCGGTCCAGTTTACATTTGCTGCTGCTGTCAGATGGGTCGCATGTCTGTGGCTGTACACAAGAGTCCAAGCAATCTCAGTTCATAACAAATGAGAAGGTATGGTAAACGTAGTCAGACTGATATGGGTACGGTTGTCACGGATTCGAGCTTCGGGGACGCAGTACACATTAATTCGTAGGTTATTCAATGTATGCGAGAGCAAACGGGACAGTGCCGTGGAAACTAGAGTACAGCCTAGCAGGGACTTTGGTAGCACAAAACTACAGAGCGTTCCAATGATAAGGGTGCGCATGGCAAACAGGCAGTTGTGCTTTAGTCACCGTTGCTTAAGCTGTAAATTACTGAAAGAAAGCTAGTAGTGTGGATCTAGTGCAGGAGAAAGCAGGGATAGCATCGGCAGCAAATCGCTGCCACCCTGAGCCCCGCTGCGCACAAGAGGTAACGTGGTTATAGCGGGATTTTGCAAGCTGTGTGTAGTTCCCTCAACCCCCACTTTCACGTTACAGGTCCCTAACCATCTGACATTAAATGTTCGATGTGCGTACAATTTTATCCCATCCTCAGTTAGCATGCGTCCATCTCGTCCGTTGTGTCACTACTCCGCGTACACGAAACACTTTGATTTTGAATCCCCTCCCCACCTGTTTACACAAACAGGCGTAGATCTCGCCCTTCCTTTGAAACATGTGCCCACTTATCGCACAGGTCTCATCTGTTGTAATCCATCTCCCAATCAGCTGCTAGAATGTCTGCTATCCATAGACTGACCGGCTCAAAGCCGACCGATTCAACTCCCATCTATCGTACCTTATTGTACCTTAGACCGCTACCGACGATAACGGCTGTTGCAGCGCTACATGTTATTGATCTAAGGATGTTGACGTTGACTTTGCATGTCGTTAATCTCTTGTAAGTAACACCATAGAGTTTGTGCCCACTTTTTGTTTTGAATCACTTGAGATCTTTTCTACGCGTAGCTCGACGAATGCATTATCGTCATCTTAGCGAGACATCTGAAACAGCTACAGTCGATGTACCATGAAGCAGAGGTCCGTGGAAAAACAGACATCGTATGTAAGCTGCTAATCCTAGTAAGAGGAACGGCAATGGTCCTCAGTCAAAGATTTAGGAACAAAAGGTTAAACGCATGTCAATGGGAAAGCAGCAAAGGGTCAGAAAATGGGTCAATTTCGCAGTGTACTGCCCCATTTTAATCCAAAAACTGGAAGACTGGGCTCTAATTGCCTAACTTCCCAACCATTGATCAAACTGGTAAGGACAGCTCCCAAGATGTTCAAGGGCATCACACAGTAAAGCTCAAGAGATGGTTGGTACGTGAGTAGTCGTGGAACCTTGATATTCATCCCAGTTATGAACCAAGACTACATTGTACACCCAAGAAATTTCCTTCATTGAGCCGCTGTTGGGCTGAAAGAGGCACGAGGTGGGTTGGGTTTGATTCGACAGCGAAGACGAAGACCACTGATGGTTCACCAGTATGTTGTTGGTTCGTGTCGCTGTTCATGCAACGCAAGAATAGATAGTCATGACGATGGGTATGTTGCTGATGACCACGATCATACTCAGACGCATGATGATGAACTGGCGACATTAGTGAGAAAAGTGGATTAATCAGTTTGTGGTGATGTATATGCATAAACTTTAGCTTCGTATAAAGTTCGGAGGACAAATGAAGCGTTAAAGATAGCAGTTCACGATGTCAAAAGTGGAAAGTCGGAAAAGCCAAAGCAAGTGAAAGAATGAAATCTGCATGAGAAATACAACGTCGAGTTCCTGAAACACTTATTGTTGGTATCATGAACAACACAATATACCGGTCTAAACTCACCGTGGCTGCAACTGCAGTAAGAGGCAACAGATACCGCGTTTGGTGCAGTTCCTTGAACGACGCAAGGTGAGACACTTTGGCAACTTTATCCGTTGATACAGAAAGTAGTACTTCTCCCTGAGAAGTGTCCGGGTGATTAGTAATACAAAGGCCGGTGACCAATTTGTAGTGTATCCGCAAGCCACCAAACGGATCAGCCGCCGACTCGTCGGAACGGGGAACTGACAGGAAACGGCGCATCTCCATGGTCCAAAAGTGTATGAGAGAGCCATTCGCAATTGCTAACACTTTGTCCGTATTGTTTGAGGCCAAAGCAGATACACCGTTTGGTAACTTAAACGTAGTCACTGGTTTCGACTACAAAAATAGAAAGCATCGAGACGAGTAAAGGGGGCAATGGACGTTTCCAACAATAAACTAGGCGAATATTGGCAGATGCTGCATTTCGTATTATCTCATCAGTACCAATACAATAACAGGGAAATCCTTTTATATGTCTTACAGGGTACAGTCGAGCCAATCAAATTTATGGTTGTGGTCATTGTTGATGGGATTAGGACCACGGCAACCGCAGGTTGACAACTAATTGCTTTTGGACACACAAAGCTGGTCAAATTCGGCTTATCGCGACGGCCTCGGCAAATCGTAAAAGGCGTGCATTAGTATGACGTAACAAGATCCGGAACGCTGATAAGGGGTTAACCCGGTGACGAGTCGCCAAGATGTCAGTCTGAGGAGTTTGAGCTGATCACTAAAACACTTATGGAGAATGGCTACCCAAAGCCATTGATAGACAAACACAGCCAAGTTAGACCGCCCAAGCAGATGGTGTTGACAGCCCCTAAGAAGAAGGTGTACATTGAGCTACCATTCAAGGGTGACACCGCAGCGAGAAGGATAACCAAACGCATTGTCTCGGCCATTCAGCGTACATACTGTGCTGCGGAGGCGGTAATAATCAACAGAACCCGAAAGATGCCGTTACCTTCAGTCATCATCATCATCATCGTTATACATGTCAGCTAGAGGTGGTAAAACACCTCCGCTATTGTACCGCAATACATAAAGGGAATACATACATATATACAATACATAAAGGAAAAAAATAGATACGACAGTTACATGCCAGCTGAGCTACCAGCAACGGATAGGCATCGTTCCGGTAAGCTACCAGCCGGCTACTAGGCAAAAAAACAACAATTTAATTACGTTTTACCCTACGAAATAAGATCGTAGATGGAGGGGGAGGCTAAAGCGATGGGGAGGGACAAAGAAACTCACAACAGGAACGCCACTGAGGTCGGCTCCTTGCCATGTCAGCAAGTGTATCCAGCCAAACGTGTTCACCGTCTTTTGGACCCCTACCAGGGAGCCGTGAAGCTCCAATCGAGGCTAGTTCCGAAGTGAGGGATTTCATTCCTCTGGACCAAGTCATCGCTTGGCCACCTCTCCTCTTCTTCCACCCACATCCCCGGTGAGCAAACAACGCAGGTCGAGGGAGTCGTTGGGCTGGCATGCGCGTTACCTTCAGTAAAGGAAGATGAACCCGTCGGCGCCAAATCACATTGTCTACCAATTCGTGTGTGACTGCGGTATCAGTTACATCGGCAGGACCGAACGGGTTTTAGATTCCAGAGTGAAGGAACACTTACCAAATTGGGTTCAGCGCGAAGTTACTCAATCCACCTCCGATGATACGTGCTCGCGTAAGCCGCCAGCGTCCTCCATAGGCAGGCACATCTTGGCGACTCGTCACCGGGTTAATCCCTTATCAGCGTTCCGGATCTTGTTACGTCATACCAATGCACGCCTTTTACGATTTGCCGAGGCCGTCGCGATAAGCCGAATTTGACCAGCTTTGTGTGTCCAAAAGCAATTAGTTGTCAACCTGCGGTTGCCGTGGACCTAATCCCATCAACAATGACCACAACCATAAATTTGATTGGCTTGACTGTACCCTGTAAGACATATAAAAGGATTTCCCTGTTATTGTATTGGTACTGATGAGATAATACGAAATGCTAGCATCTGCCAATATTCGTCTTCTCATTTCGTTGTTCAAACTACTGAAGGAGAGTAACTGTTTTAAATAAACTAGGCGCCTGAAACTACAAAAATGATGCGGTGAAAAAAATATGCTCAAACTGATAAATGATCTAGGTATCGTCTGTCCGCAGCACTTTACCTAAGACCGATTGTGTTTAGTTGTACCCTTCAGTTATAGCTGAAAGAATTGCGACGCGGTCCAGACGTGCAGAGATTACCGGTTGATGCCTTTGCTCCTGCGCGAGTAACGCTCGTCACAGCGGTGGATGACTCGTTGTTGTTTGGCTTGAGGCAGTGTATCATGCCTATAGAGGATAATTTGGTTTCACTTTGTCAGTGATTCGATGTAGCTTGTCCGTCACAAGGACAATTGCATATCGGTGCTTAAATAACGCCAAAGTGAAAGTTTCATCTGAAAAATATATACTAAGGCTTTTCACATGCAACAAGCACATGTTGCATGTGGGCAAATCAGCGATATTGCGGCCATCTAGCCTGCAAACATACAGTTCAGCGCTACAAAACCTTGTGACTCATATATCCAAAACGAAGTCGGGAATACTCTGATAAATGCACGTCGTTTTTAGTAACAGAAAAACCACCGACTGTGTTTATTGCCTTAATGATTGCCATGTCCGTAGATTAGTTGTAGACATGTTGTTCAAGCATTCTTCAGCACAAATATTGCCAGATATAGCACATGAAACTACTAAAGTGACGACATGGGAAGTAATCACAAAAAAGATTGAAACGACGGTCTCAAAGAATTGCTTGACCCTAACTTCGAATTTCCTATTCACCTATTAACCAAAGAATCGCAAGCCCTAGTTGGACAGCAGAGTCGAATGGATTGATCTAAAATCCTTCGGGTGCCAGTGTTGGGGTGAGCAACACTATAATGTTTCCTTTGGTTGATGTTTGACAACAACCGATTCGAAACATCACTGGAGTGCCGGTAGAGCTTGAACACTGCTGGCTATAATTGTGCCCCGCAAGTCTGCAAATCAGGTGTGCACTTTACTGGGACTGTGCCTAAGGAAACGAAACCCTTATAAAGACCGTTGCACAGGAGCATGAAGAAATTCACTGAAACGCCAAGCAAGGTCAGCGCTTATCGCTTGGGACCGACCACATCACTGGTTAGATAGCCCATAATATGTGGCGCTGTCAGCTCTGGTTCCTATCTACCACGTTGAACGACCGCAAGTTATCAGTTCCTTTTGATTTATCGTTACCACTGTGGATATTACTACTAAGATGGCGACAAACAGCACCCATCGCAAATGCGTTGAAGCCGTTAGCGGGGGAATACTGGATGAATCATCACACACAGAATGCGCCAAACTGTAGGCAAAATAAGCTAGGTGGCACAACTTGGGGCCAGATCAAATCATTCGCTAAAACCTCATTTTCGTTATCGTCGGTCAGTGGCTGGAAGGATTATACGCCTGAGTTGTAACCCAAAGTCAACTGGTTCGAATCCGCGTAGGCGCAGCCCTCGTGTGGCTTGGTAGTCGCGTGACAGCAAAGCGCAGATACGGAGTGTCGACGTACTGCATATGCGCTTTTTTGTTATCCGGCATATGCCTTCAGTGCGTATAATGCTGAAAAACCGCCCCCCCCCCCGACCTGAAGTAGGTTCTAACTACACCGGATGAAGACTTCGATAAGTGATGACTGACAAATTACTGTCAAACTTGAGCTGTAGAACACGTTGAAATGAACACCAGTATGTCGATACAAAGGAACGTAAAGTTTGAGAACTTAAAACCCGCGGTACATGCTCTATTAAATGATGCTGTTGCTTGTGACGAAGAGAGGAGCAAGGTGTGTCCAGCTAACACGTGTAGCATCATGACAGTAAACAGTGAAATAGCAAAGAGTGAAGAAAAGGACGTCACCAATATTTGTGAGGCAACATTATTAGGAATACGAAAGAGTTGGAGTTTAATCGAACTGGGAAAGCAACGAGAGTAAATGGGTCGGGAAAAAGTAAAAGGACCGGAAGGAAAAATTAACTGCACGACGTAATGGACGGGAGGCATGATTAGCTAGGAGCCAGCAACTGTGACACGCAGGGAAAAGAAACAAATGGTATGGGTTATTTAGTAGATTTCACCTACAGCATTATAAAAAGCAAATCGTCAATGGGTCGGTGATCTATAGGTCTGTCTCAAGCAAAGGTGTCGAGAGAAGTGTTGTATACGGAAATTCAACCCAAATGGTGCATCCGCCACTCGATCCCAACGTTTGCTCCTATCTAATCGGACTCGGTTCACAGCCAATCAATCACCGATGAGTCATTATGCCAGTGAACCATAAGTCGTTTGTAACATGTAGCCATATAAATTGGCTAGGTGGAGTGAATTGAAGTAATTGCTTTGAAGCTACGTTAGGAGCGCAGATTGTTTTGTACTATTATCCTGTTGCTTTGATTCCGGTGGGAATGCGTTAGATCAAGGCTTCCAAATGCTTGCCACTTACAGCACTCAGCGTTGCTTCCTCACTTTAGAGTGAAGAATTACGTACAGCAATCAACAATTATCAATGGAGCTCAAGTGCTCAACAACGCTTCTTTGTTTTTGAAGTACAAGCTCGCTAAATTTCTTTAGAGTGGCCACGCTGACTCATGCGTCTCAAGAGAAATCGCTCCACAACATCCATGGTAAGTGAACAATCCCACAAAGTAACTGAGTAGAGTTTATCAATATGATATTGATGCTACATGCTCCGGTTTAGATGCCAGCCTTGAGGCACACGATGGAAGCACCGATCTCTGGACTGGTGGCCGAAGCGGTGATGCAGGCGCTAGAACGGACAGCACTCCCAATCGCGAGACCGAAACTTTGGGTACGCTATGTAACCGACACCATCGTTATCCTAAAGCGTTCTAAATTAGAAGATACACATAAGTTCGACGACACTGAATCCACCAGGGAAGAGAACAACAGGTAATTACCATTTTTAGACGTTCTCATACGAAGGACTGGTTTTGGATCACTGGAAACGACAATCTATTGAAAGGCAACACTTACGGACCAGATCCTCAACTATAGCGGCAATCACCTAGCAGTACACAAGCGCATCTGCGTGCTAACCTTTTCAAACGAGCATGGACACAATGTAGCACAGCCAATGCGGAAGGAAGAAGACTATCTATTCAGACCGTTCGAATGAAACTCGTACACAAAAGGCTTCATTTTGCGCTGACTAGCCCCACATCGAGCAACACACCTCAATAAATACAACAGTTGAAAAGAAAGCTGCGCTGCAGAGGGTTTCGGTGTGGCTCTTTTCCATCCCTGAACTAT